CTTCTGCATCGCCCGTGCACCACACTATTCTCATTTTCCTGACTCCCACTAGAGTATAGGTTCCACGAGGGTAAGGATTTCATCTTGGTCGCTACTGAATCTCCAGCCTAGAACATGTGCCTGGCACATAGTAAGGACTTTTTGTTGAACGGATGTTGAGGGAATGCCTTGACCCTCCCACAAACAGCCAGAGTCCCCAGCCCCTTCCTCGAGCTCCCCAGAACCCACCCAAACACCTCACACCTGAAGATGACATCCCCACATCCTACTCTGGCCTCCCAGCCTCTGCTCACACTGGTCCTACCATCTGAAGTACATCCTCTGTGAACTGAAATTCTTGCCTGTCCCAGGCCCTGCAGGTGCCGTGTCTCCTGACCGGTGAGGGAAAGGGTTGGGACCTCTGCTTGTTTGAACTTGGCTCTTCCTGGCACTTATCTCTGCCTACCCTTTGGAGGACACTCCTTGGGGCTGGGTCTGTCTGAACCCTGAGACCATGAGCCCCTGGAGGTAGTGACCCTCATCTTTGCCTGCCCATCGCTCCCCATTTAACCCCAGTAACCAGGCCCAAGGTGGCTGGCCCATAGTCAGCAATTAGCAAACAAGTTGGCCTCACCTTGATCATATGCCTCCAGACCCAGAGAGGGGCTTGGATGAAAGCTAAGTCCAGCCAGTTGAGGGTATTGCCTATAAGAGGGGGCACCACTGAGTGGGAAGGTTTGGGATGGCCCCCAGAGCCCATGCCTCCCAGACAGGATTCCCCAGTTCAGAAGGGCAGGGGGCCCAGCCGGGGGCAGTTGGAATTGCCAGCCAGAGCTGTCTCCCCAGGGGCCTGACACGCATGCAGGGCACAGGTGGGACAGAAAGAGGAGGGACAACTATGACGACATAATTTGGAGAGAGGGAAGAAAGATGTCACACTCCTTAGGTACCCCCTGGGGACTCTGGACAGTGTCAGGATGTCTGAAATCATAGACTCTCCCTTCACACAGGGATACTGAGGCCTGAGAGAGAGAATCCGCCCAGGTGACCCAGCCAGACAGAAAGTAGAGTTGCTAGGACCTGATTTCGGCTCTAACAGCACCTCTTGGAGGCCCTGGAGCCTCGGCTTGCCCATCTTTACAATGGTGGCACTGATTCCCATCTTCCCTCACTTCCTTCCCCCCACCCCCCACCCCGACCCCTGCCCAGGAAAGCTGTGAGACTCACTGAGGGGAAGGCTGTGGATGGTCTCAGGCAGGTCAGGGCCCCACCTCCTGGCCTTGTGGAAGGAGGCAGGGGGTGGGGAGTGCAGGGGAGGCTGAGGGAGCAGGACCCTGGGGGCCCCCCAGTGATTCCCTGCCCCCTCCTAGGGGAAAGAGCCATGGGGCAGGAGACCTTCCTGAAGCTGAGGGGGAGCTGCCTGGGCTTGAGGAGTGTCTGGCCATGTTGGGCTGCCTCTTGGGTCAGCAGCACTGCCACCATCAGATCTAACACCTTCCTTGCCCCAAGCCTCAGTTTACCACAAGTCCAATGAGGATAGCAGTAATCAATCCAGTCCTTCCAGTCTGTGGCCTCGAAGAGCCACCCTGAGGGGCCAATAGGCTAGTGGCTGGTGTGAGCATCAAAACCCTGAAGAGAGAAAAGACAGCCGGCTAATGGTAGTATTTCAGGCAGAGAACCTGGGGGCAGAGGGGCCTAGACTGCCCGGGCCCCCGATCTCAGCCAGACCAGCCTAGCCAGGGCCCTGGCTGTGGGGACGGCAGTGCCCATCTGTGATGGGAGAGGCTTGGTCAGGGATGCCATCAGCCCTGGAAACTGCCTTTCTGCTCCTGCTGACTCTTCTGTCCTCGCCTGTCTGTCAGCTTCTGACAGTCGCCGCGTCTCACGCACACAGCGGCCACTGCCTCCAAAGCAGAGGCAGCTGCTGCGGCCTCCATGCTGGAACCAAAACTGAATGAGCATTTTCACAATGTTGCCTCCCGCTGACGGCTCATAATTGCATGTTGAAGCCATGTGATGGAGCCCAACTTACACTAATTATGTCATTACCCTAATTAAGTAAATACTGTATGTGCTAATTGGCTGAAATCTCTTCGGGGGGAATGGGCAGGGTGAGAGGAAGCCCATGTCCCCTAGGCTTTCACATGGATGGGCTGGGGCTAATAAATTCGGGGGGGAGGGGGGGCATTCTTCCCTCAGTTTTGCAGGTCCTGCTGTCACCCAGGTGGGATTCAGGGAGGACCCTCGGCCGCTGCCCTGGACAGGCTTGCCCATGCTCCAGGGGAGAAAGCAGAAGGTGCTGGACAGGTGGTCAGAGATCCAGGCTGGAGGCCTGCCTTTGCCCTGACAGGCCAGTGGTCTTAAACAACCTTCTACCTCTCTCCAGTGGGTCCTCTTGCCCACCCCCCACCTCAGCCAGCCCAGAGCTTGTGGAATCTCAGATGTACGGGGCACAGTGGCATCAGAGGGACTCAATGTCCAGGAAGGACTAACCAAGCCACTGTCATCCACCTATATAGGACAATAGTTACGTGCCCAGCCTGGGACAGCAGGAGGGAGAAAGGCTGATGACCGAGCAAAGCCCTAGGCCCAGGGGACAGCACCAGTGTGAGCCAGCAAAGGAATAAACAGAGCTGGCATGTAAGGTGGAAGACAGCCTGAGGAAGTCAGGAAGGCTTCCTGGAGGAGGAGGACCTCAACTGTGAGAGAGGACATAAGGGCCTCAGGGATCAGATAATCTTTCAAGGTGTGATTTTTTTTTTTTAATGCCAAACTTTTTAACCATAATCTTCAGGTTGGGGTTAGGAGAGAGAAGAGAGCAGCCATCTGGAGGACGGCCCCAGATGGGAGTCCAACCCATTTGGGGGTACTGAGGGACCAGAAGGAATGCCAGCCCTGTGTCAGGGACAGTTGTGTCCAGAATGACCAGAGCCCTCATCCTTCCCTCTCTAAGTCTATCACCATGGACCAGCTGTCAAGCGAGGGCCCCCATCCCTGACCTGTCTCTCATGAGGCTGTGGGGAGGGTCCCAAAGGCAAGAGTTTGAGGCCTCAGCACTGCAGCTGGGGCCTCCAAGAGCTGAGTCTTCTCAAACCCAACAGAGCCAAGCAGTGCCCAGTCTGGCGAGTGTGCCCAGGTGCCTCAGTGTGGGCATCCCTGTTCTCCCAGCTCCACCCCACCCGCCTGCTGCCACCTCCATAGACATATGCTGCAGCTCCACACCCGGCAAACACCACATGCTCACTTTGGTGGGCAATGGCTCCCTGCCTCCCAGGCTGGAGGAAAGAAAAAGCAAGAGGAACGTGAGGCCTAGCCCTGGACAGGCCCAACTCCCAAGGCAGCCTCGGCCAAGTCTCTCCAGCTCCCAGGCCTCATGCTCCCAATAGATGATATGCACTCATTCATTGCCTGTCCCAGGCCTCCATTCATTCCACACAACATGGTCTGGGCTCCCCTACACTGGCTCCAGGAGACAGAAACAGATAAGAAACCATCCTTTTATCCATGACATCTGCAACTTACTCTCAAATGGCTCAGGAAAAAAAATACATATAACTATGCACACATACAGAGCAAATACATATATAGAGAGGGAGAGCAAGTGAGGAAAAATATTAACAGTAGTTGACGTGGCTAGAGGGTATATGGGTATCTTACACTATTCTTATTGACAATTCTGTAAATTTGCATTTATTTAGAAGTAAATGGAATGAAGAAAGGGAGGGAGGGAGGAAGGAAGGGAGGAAGGGGGGAGGAAGGGAAGAAGGGAGGGAGGGAGGAAGGGAGAAAGGAAGGAAGGGAGGAAGGGAGAAAGGAAGGAAGGGAGGAAGGGAGGAAGGAAGGAAGGGAGGAAGGGAGGAAGGAAGGGAGGAAGGGAGGGAGGAAGGGAGGGAAGAAGGAAGGGAGGGAGGAAAGGAGAAAGGAAGGAAGGGAGGAAGGGAGGAAGGAAGGGAGGAAGGGAGGAAGGAAGGGAGAGAGGAAGGGAGGAAGGAAGGGAGGAAGGGAGGAAGGGAGGGAGGAAGGAAGGGAGGAAGGGAGGGAAGAAGGGAGGGAGGGAGGGAGGTCCTTTCCTTTTATGGGATTCCAGGCTACGAGAGGAGGTAGCTGGAACGGTGGCAGCCGGGTTGATGTGGCCCTTCTTGGTGGGGCTGGGACAGCTTCCCTGAGGAGGTGGAGGGAGTTGGGCTAGGCAGAGTCTAAGGGCATCTAGCTCTTACCCTTCCACGCAGGGTGGGATGGAGGCTGACTCCTCCTCTCCCTGTCACAGCTTTAGGCAAGCCCACAGCTCCCTCCCCTCTTCCTGCTCTCCAAAGCATGTTGGTGTGCTGGACTTTCTATAAGGAGTCTCCAGTGGGAATGAGAAGGGGAACTTCCCTTGGTCATAAGCTTAGGACGGCCTCCTGTGCCTCTGAGCATGGGAGGAGACTGGACCAGCCCAGGGTGCTGTGCCTGGGACTAGAGAGGGATAGGATGGTTCTGATCAAGGCCACCCTACCTCCCCTGCCCCTCACAACACTAACACAGACTTGTGCCGCAGCGGCCCAAGCCCAAGCGGAATTCCCTCGTGCCCTTGCCTGTCACAGCAGCACTTAGCAGCAGGAGGGAGCAGCAGGAAGTGGTTCATTATTCCATCCTTCATTAGGTCTGCATTAGGCAGCCCAAGAATCGTGGGATGTGCAGGAGGCCTCTGCTTTAGATGGGCCTGTTAAGGGGCTGCAGCTCTGGACCCGCCCCCTGCAGCCTCCTTCCCAACTCACCCCCTCCCTATCCCCTGCTTCCCCACTCCCTTCATTCTTCCCCATTGTGCCTACCATCCTCCCCACCTCCCTTGGGGCCCCAAATGCTCTTCCCTAAAAGGGGACTTCCCCTACCCAGTTCTCAGTCCAGGCTTTGGACCCCATCCACCATCCCCTCCCCCAAAGACACAGTGACAGTGGCATCCCGATGTGTGGTCAGTCTCAGCAGAATGAAGGGGACCCCTGCCCGCTTTCACAGCCCATCCCCTCTCCCCTTGACCTCAGGCTGACACTTCAGAGCCTGGACCGCCCCAGAGTGGACCTGCCCTCCATTCAGGAGACTCTGTCCAGGACGCTCCAGACTGCGGCACCCAGAGGTCAGCAGGGGCCCATTCCTCCATTCGGACACCTTTGTTCTTCTCCCGCCTTTGTCCCTGGCCCATCCTCCTAGCCAGCCCACAGCCCAGAGCCTCTCCCTCCCATTCCCCTTCGTGGCCTTTTGCCCACTCAAGTAGCAGAGCCTGGCATGGGATGGGGTGGAGCCTCTCTGCCCACCCTGCCCAGCCCCCAGCCCGCCCGCCCCCTGCAGCCCTCCTCTCCACTACTCCCTCTCCTGCCCACGCCCCCTCACTTGCCCCACGTCCCGCCCCTCTAACAACCTCCCCTCTCTAGGTCTGGCCCCCTCACCTCCTCCGCCCCCTCCCCATTTCCTCTTCCCTCTTTCCTTGGCCCTTCGGTCCCTGGAAGTCAGGCCTCCTCCCCTCCCCTCTTCTCTCTCATCCTCTCCCTTCTTTCTTCCCCCTCCAGTCTCCACTCCTTCGCCTGCTCACTCACCCTCTCCCTCTCCTGCTGCCCCCCTCTCTCTCCCCCACCTCTTTGTTTCAGCTGAGAACCGGCTCCTCGGGACAGTTCCCACACCGCAGTGCCTCTGGCGAGGAGACAGCGCCGCCGAGGTGAGCTGAGCGATCGGGCACCGGCAGGCGCGGGCAGCCGGAGCTCTGGGGGCAGGTGGGTGGGGGGACGGGGCAGTCCAGCCTGCCGCTTCTCTGCCCGGACCAGTGGGAGCAGCAGTCGGAGTGCCAGCTTCAGATTCCCCGGTGGTTAGCAGGAGCCAAGGACAGAGGGGCAGCCAGTTGGCCAAGGGGGGGAAAGCTTGTCAGGAGCTGGCAAGCTCTGTCCCAGCCCTGGTGCCTGGCTTCTGTGGGTGGCCCTGGGTGGAGGGAGGCCCTCAGGGGGTACCCGACTGGGTGGGCGGGGGGCTGGGCTGCCCAGAACAGCCATCCCTGACGGTCTGAATGTATGCCCTGTCCTAGAGTCCAGAGCTCAGGACCCTGCCTCTGGCTGGGCTGCGGCTGCGAGGTTGCCGGGTGGCAGCAGCGGAGCTGTCCGTGGGGCTGTGACCCCTACAAGTGTCCATTCCTGGGGGGCTGTGGTTGCTGGTCAGGTATGTGCTGGACCACTCCCATTGCCCAGGTGGGGGGTGTGAGCGAAGGAGAGCTCTGCCCCATGCTACAGGCTGGCTGCTTTCACCCCAAGCTACTGACCACCAGACCCAGAGAGCCACATGGAGGAGGGGTACTTCTCCCTGCCCTATGGGTCTCTGACCAGCTCCCCCAAGATGGGGTCCCCAGGACAGCTTTACCCAGAGTTGCAATCAGTAGGGATTCAGGTCCAAGCTCACATGTTCCTGCGGTCAGCTTCCTGGGGTGAACGGAACAGGACAGGGAGGAATGCCTTGATGGGGGTGGTGGGCAGCTGGGAGAGAACAGGTGGAAACGGAGCCCTGGCTCTTGAGTAAAGGCTTAAGTGTGAGTACTGGACATGACCCAGGGCTACACAGTGATCCAGAGACCCTGACGCTGACTAGGTGGGTGGGAGTGGATGGAAGGGGCAGGAGCCAGTGCCATGGGCCCCACCCCCTTCTCAGCTGGAGCTGGGGATAGAGAGACAGCACTGGATGAGGACAGAGGGTGCCTCTCACACTTCCCCAAAGAGGCGAGCAGGGAGGCTCTGCAGGCCGCCAGAGGAGGGGCAGGAAAGGCCAGGAGTATGAGGGAAAGGGTGGGGGGATTCCCACTGGGGTGCATCTTGGGGGCCAGACCCTGGCTATCTGGCTAGGGCAGGGCCAGATCCTACAGCTCCTTAAACGCCCAGGAGGCAGCTGTGGACAAGATCATGGTGGGTAGTGATCCCATGAGGCAGAGCTGTGAGGGGCATTTTTCCCACTAGGACTGGGTAGATGGGGCACTTGTTTCTGGGGGCAAACTCTCCCTGGACAGAGCCTCCATATCTGAGCTGGCAACAGCCCCTCCCAGACGGAGCAACCTGTAGAGAGAGGGGGCATCAGACCCGGGGGCCCCGAGCCCACCCCACACAGCCTCTCCAGAACAGGGCAGCCCGAGCCAGGGAAGCAGGACAGCAAAGCTTCACGACTGGCCTTCAGGTTGCCTAGGGAGGGGTTGACCGTCAGACATCCCTGTCTCAGGGAGAAAGGCCAACCCTCCCAGCCTGGGCAGAGCTCACCCCAGCTCTGTGGCCCTATCTCTCAAGCGACAGCCCACCTAGGCCACTGGCTTCCCCACCACTCAGGGCGTGTCAGTGTTCCCCCCGCCCCTACTCAACCCCTGTCCTCCCCTAGCACACCGGATTCCTCTCACCCAGCTAGGGACTCCTGGCCTGGGGTCAAGCCAGTTCTCCCCCACGCAGCCTGGGCCTCATCAGGTCCCTCACACGTGATCCAGACCCAGAGGGATCAGGCTGCCCCACCTGTTTTTCTAAACCCTGAGGGGCTCTCTCTCGAAGGCTGAGTCAGCTTACTCTAGCTCCAGTTGATCCCCCCCCCCCGGCTCTGTGATCTCGCATGGCACTGTGCACCCCAGCAGCCATTAAAGACTCAAATACCACACCCTGCCAGTGCCAGTCCAGTGCCAGAGGGCAGTAGTCACTCACTCGGCCTCAGTCAGTGAGCACCAAGACATCGCCGGCTCAACCCCGACCCTGCCTGGAAGAAGGGGCCTCCCTGAGACAAGAACTCCCTGAGCTTCTCCTTGGAAGAGGCCAATACCTCTCCCTTCTCTCCCTCTGTCCCTGACCCCCTTCCACAGAGCTTTCCTATCTACATCCATCTGCGGCCGACACCTCCCCAGAGAGGTAAGCAAGATAAGGATGTTGTCCCATTAAACAGAGGGGAAAACCAAGGCCTGGAGAAAGGAGGCTGGCACGGCCAAGATAAGGACCTAGGACCCGACTCCCACTCCAGGGCTCCTTCCAGGTCTTTTAACTGCCACCTTGGTGAGACCCTACATGCGGTGGGGTGCCTATGCTCACCAAAGTCCACTCGCTGCCCAGGCTCTCTGCCCCACAAATCCTCGTGCCCTGAAGGCATTCCCAGCAACAGAGGGGCTAGGTTACTCCCAGGGGTGTTTGAGCCACGGCTTCCAACCTTGGTTCCAAAGTGGGCATCCAAAGGGATGCCTGGCCTGGCTGAAGGCTGCCGGAATGAGGCTGCAGAGGAGTGGGCAGGGAGGAGGTGGGAGGGGGTTGCCGGGCCTGGTGATGCACCTCTCTCCTACATGCCGCACCTCTTCCACCCACCCCCCACCCCCATGGTAAGGATGGCCTCAGCATCAAAGTCCTAAGACAGCCTCCTGGCATCACTCCTTGCCAAAAACTCCTTGTGGGGCCTGCCACCACTGTCAGTGTGAAGTGCAACCCCTTCAGCCAGGCACACGAGACCTTTTGCCAATTGGCCTCTGCCAGCCTTTATGGCCTCCTTGCGTTTCTTGCATCACCGTCTCCCCAACATTCTAACCACACCAAACTGTGTGTGTCCCCCACCCCACTCAGAGCATGGCTCTGAGGCCCACTCAGTGACCGTGGGTTGAACTGGACACACACGCCGACACGTCTCAGAGCACACACACAGATGTGCACACAGATGCAGGCACACACCTTCGTGTGGAAACCCACCACACGTGGCTTTTTGCCAAATCACACACACAATGGAGCTGTGAAATCTAAGCCAAGAGGGACTGACAAATCTGTTCTAAGGACCCCTAAAGAGACCAGCCATGGTCACGTCACCATCCCCAAGCCCTTGGCAGGGCAGCAGGGAAGCAGGAGTGGATCTCTGGCTCTGGCTGAGCCCTTGACAGGCCCTAGGGTCTCTAAGCCCCAGAGGGTAGGAAGAGGATAGTCAAGCAGGTCCCAACCAGGCTCTCATTCTGGTTCTGTGGCAGACTTGCTATGCAGCCCCAGACAAGCCACCTTCCCTCTCTGTTTCACCAGCTATAAAACAAATGGATTTGGATTGGCAGACACCTAAAGGCTGGCCAGGCCCATTGCCCAGCTGCTCTCAGTTCATGTCAAGTGCAGAGAATGGAAGGGCCTGTGAAGGCAGCAGCCAGGGAAAGCTGCCGGGGATGGAGATGAGGTGGGAACGAGGGCAGCAGGAACCCAAGTGGGGACAGACGGAAGCCAAGAGCCACAGGACGGGAGCAGTTATTGTGACACATAATTGACATTTATGGAGCAAATAATAAGTCCTACAGAACATTCACCATGTAGGCTTTATCTCATATTTTCATCCAGATTGCAGCCAAATATATCCGTTCTCATCTTGGGGTTACCAAATGGGCAAATCTAATGGGTTAGGCCCAATCCAGCCTCTGGCCTCCAGCCCCCACAAACACAGGCCCAGGGCAGGGGACAAGGTGGCAGGGGGAGACTCTGGCAAGACCCCACTCCCTCACCCCTCAGCAGGTGTGTAAGCAGCTATGCGCACAGGAAGCAGCACAGCACAGCCCGTGCTGAGGACCTCCGTGTACACACACAGATGCGTTCCCCCTCCTGCGATGCCAACACCAACACCTGCACGCTCACATGCCACCACACATACGCATGCACATGCTGGGGACATGGCAGACAGGCCCTCTGCCACAGCCCCAACCCTCTTATCCTGCTGTTGCTGGGAACTTGACACCCAGTGCTAATCCTCATGCCCCGGAGGGCAAGGACTGAAGCAGGAACAGGGCATATCTAGAGGGTGCCAGAGGAGCACCGGGGCACAGGCACAGCCATGCAGGGACAGTAGCCCCTAAGACTATGACATCCCCACCCCTGCCGGAAGAAACCTCCCACCAGGACAGAAGGAAATGGAGCCCCTGCATCACAGAGGGGTATGAATTCCCCTCTCCCCTAAATCTCCCTGGACCCCAGCACCCGGCTCACCTGCTCACCTCCCTCCCCATCCCCAGCCCACCAGGAACCACCTGCAAGCTGCACCATCTGGAGCCCAAGTAGAGAAGGGAGGCTCTTCCCAGGAGCAGGGCACACCAGCCCTGGCCCAGAGCCCCTCACACCCTCAGAGAGGAGGGCACGGCTGGGATGGAGGAGGAGGCCAGCAGGAACAGCCCCAGGCCTCGCTGTTCTCTATGGCTTTTTATTCCTATGTGATTCTACTGCTCACTCATATAGGGATTGGAGCCGTGGCGCACGGCGGGGGCAGCCAGCGGAGGGCTCGAACACTGAACAAGGGGGCCCAAGGAGAGCCAGGACAGCGGCCCCACCCTCTCCCAGGGCAGTCTGCTAGCCTGGCTAAGGAAGCCCTTCCTCTGTTGCTCCCCTCCCCACTGGCCTCTTCCCAGGCAGCCATAACAGGAGAAGGGGAGAGGGGCTGCTGGACCCCACCACTGCTCTGACCCACCATCCCAGCACTGGAGACCCCCACTGCAGGCTGGCACCAGGAACTGGACTGTGTTCCCAGAGAAACAGCTAAAGGCTCTGAGGGCAGGGAGTGGTTCAGCCTGGGAAAATGGGTCTGGCACAAGGAAACAACACCCAGTGTCCTGTGTGGCTGAGGGTAACCCCTGGATAAATAGGGGTTTATCAACCAAAGAAAGTACAGTCTGGCTAAGGGCTGTCCAAAGACAGAAGAAAGTCCTTGGCGGCAGGCAGTAAGCATGTGCCCAGAGAGGCACTCCATAACAGGGTGGAGAGACCTCAGCAGGGATGCCACAGGGGAGAGTGACAGTTGGATGGGTGGCCAGTCCCTCCCAGACCTCACAGACTAAAGTTCTTAGGCCTGTCCTCCCTGGGGTCTCTGCTCACCCACATCAAGCATGTTGGGAGCCACGCTCAACCCTCCCAAGCTCCTGTTTAAGTGAAGCAAGTGCCCTGCAGAGATGGTTATGGAGAACTCCTGCAGGGCCCTGGCACAGGAGCTGCTGCCCAACACCATTCCCCTTCCCAGCAGCTCCCTGCTAACCTTTGCTGTGAGGGAAGAAGCACTGAGAACCCATAGTGTGGTCCTTTTTATTTTCAGTCCTTCCTGTTTCACCCCACAGAAGAAACAGGCTCAGGAGCTGAGCAGAGGGGCTGCCTGGGGGAAAACAATGGGAGCAGCAAATTGGCCTAGGGGCTCGTCCTGGTCCTCAGGGGTACCTGCTGCCACGGCTGAAAAAGTAGGGGTGGAAGAGAACCCCCATCTGCCTGTCTGGTTGAGGAGTTGGACACAAAGCAGAGGCCCTGGTTGGGAGGTGTGAGGGACAACCATGTAGCTAGGGCCAAGGAGAGGAGAGGCCCTAAAGCCTGGGGAGGCCCTGGGGACCAAACCTGGTCTGCTCCAGGACGCTGCCCTGCAGGCCTCCTCTAGGTTCCCAAAACATGACCTACAATATCACCGCGGCTGCAGGAACAGGAGGTGGGCGTCCATGACATTGGTGCCAGTCAGCCCCGTGTGCAGCAGGTGTGCCCCACCCTGGAAGCGACAGAAGAAGGTATGTGAGTCATTGTGGGCTAGGAAGGCGGCAACGTCCAGACCCTGGGCGGCGGCCTGGCTGGTAAGCTCAGGCCTGACCCAGGCCCCGGCTGCCTCTGTGGGCCCATCCTGCCCATCAGTGCCACCGCTCAAAAATAGCACATCAATAGGCCCCAACGGCCACCGTCCCAGCTCTGCTCCAACACGCAGGGCCAGTTCCTGGTTCCGGCCACCCTTGCCTGAGCCCTGCAACTGCACTGTGGGCTCACCACCAGCCAGCAAGCAGACCGGGCCCCGAGTGCCCACCATGGCCTCCAGAGCCTCCTTCAGCTGCAGGTCTGGGAGCTGGAGCTCAGCCGCCAGTTCATAGAGTTGTTCATCCTCCTCCACAGAGGCTCCAGCCCCAGGCATGGTGAGGCGGGTTCCAGCCACTCGGGCCAGCAGTGCATAGAACTGGGCTACACTTTTCACATCTCCCTGCATAGCTGTGCTCAGCACCACAGCCCTGTATCCCAGCGCCTCGGCCTGCTTCTGAGCCTCAGCCAGTGCCAGTGCATTGGAGCCAATGATCACATTGAGGACATGACCACAGGTGTGTGGCCCATGGGGGTCAGAGTCAGCCCGAGCCAGCACAGTCTTCACAGAACGTGGCAGGGCAGCACGAAGGCCATAGCGATTGAGGATGTGCAGGCAATCTTGCACACTGTGGATGCTGGCCACGGTGGGGCCGCTGGCAATCACCTCCACAGGGTCCCCCACCACGTCTGACAGAATCAGGCTCACCACCTGGGGAGGGGTCGCAGAGGCAAGGCTCAGTCCCACCTGATCCTTGCCCCAGGGCCCATGAGATCAAACTGCCTCCACCTATCCACACGTCCTTACACCACCCAGTGCACTTCCTCACCCACTTCTAACCCCTCTCAAGTGGGTGTGCAAAACACCTAGCCCTGTGGACTCCTGTACCAGGCCTCTGCCCTTCATCTCCCTGGCACACGTGGGCCTGGCTCCACCAGCCCAGAGCTGCCTGGGGAAGAAGAGACCCACGCACCTGGGCAGGGTAGGCGGCCTGAGCCAGCCCCCCACCCTTGAGCTGGGACAGGGCCTTCCGGATGGTGTTCAGCTCCTGGATGGTGGCTCCACGGGCCGCCAGCAGCTTGGTGAGTGTCTGCTTCTCCTCCAGTGTGACAGGTGGAATGGGGGCGGGCAGCAGGGCCGAGCCCCCACCTGCAGAGACAATGAAGACGCTGGGCAGAGGGGATGGATGACAAAGGGACTTCCCTACCCGGGGGAGCAGGCAGTCAGTGCTCATATTAGGCTAGAAAAGAGGAGGCTAGAAAGAGGGGCTAGGGTGCCCCCGTGTGGACATACAGTGAATGTGTGCACAGTCACCACACCCAGGTTGAACCCTGCTTTGGGGTAGCCCAGGTCCCAGCAGACACTGGAAGAACTATTCCTTAACAGCTTGGAAAAGGAAGCAGACCTAGAGGAGACAGCGGAGAACAAGGGTGGAGACTCTGAGAGAGCTGGAAACCAGGGTTCTAGCCCCAGGTGACAATGGTACAGACAGCAGCAACAGAGACATTTTCCTGGCAAGGCCTGAGTGAGGTGCTCCCTGGGTGCCCTCTCACGGTTATCCAACAAGGTCAGTCAAGGGGAGGACCCCACAGCTCACAGGAGGCCACCAAGGACTAAGCCATCCAGGCTCTTTACTGCTCCCTTGTCCTGTGACCTTGAGAGCTCAGACCAACAGCTTCTTGCAGGCCTGATATTTGGAAACCCCCACCCCCCATCAACACACTGTCCTGAGCCAATCTGGCACCCACACCTGAGATGAGCACAAGCAGCAGGTCATCAGCTGTGAGGCCTTCAGCCAGCTGCCGGATGGCCAGAGCAGCCCGCAAGGCATCTCGGTCCGGCAGGTTGTTCTCCGCGCCCTCGAATACCTGGACACGGCTGTGTGGCTTCAACAGCATCTCCCTCAGGGGAGAGAGAACGGAGAGCAAGATATGGGGTGGGCTCCTCTTCCCACCTGATTTCCCAGATGTACAGGTGAAGGGGACATTAAAAAGGACACCCACTGACACCCACCCTGGAGCCAGGCCAGTCCCAGAAGAAAATGGAAGCTGGTGAAGGAAGGAAGCCCCGATCCAGCCTGAGTCTGGGCCCAGGTTCCCCTCCACATAGGAGCAGCCCCCCAAGGCTCCTTACTGCTTGCCAGCACTCTCCATGGCAGCACGGATCCCCTTGGGAACGCTGATCACGCCCTGCACAAGATGCTGGCCCAAGAGCTCCTCAGCTGCAGTTGCCATGCCCAGGACAGCCTTGCCAAAGCCCACCAGGTAGAGGTTTTGCTGCAGCTGAAAGCTCCGGTCCCTCACCTTCAGCTGCCCACTGTCAGGGTCCAAAGACAGTGCCCGCTGCAGCATGGGGCCCGGCAGCACGGCACCCACAGTGCTCTCAAACAGCTGCTGTGCCTGCTCTGCCAGGGCCATGCTACTGGCCAGCCGGGCCAATGGGCACCCCCAGAGGAGTGGTCTCAAGGGGGCTCGGGCCAAGTGACGCAGGACCTGCAGGGCTGCAGCCATGCCCCACTGCTCTCAGCACCACCTGGCATCCATGGCTGCCTAGGGGGAAGAAAGCACTAGTTAGACCGTTGCAAGGCCAGACAGGAGGCTCCCCACAGCCACGGCTCTGAGGGCTCAGGGCCAGTGGACCCCACAGCTGCTGCTGCAAGAATAGGCCATCTGCCAGTCCAAGGAGATTTCCTAAGGCCCACAGCTGCCTGATCTCACTCCAGTCCAGTCTTCTGAGCCCAGGCCTGCCACCCAACCATGTTCTCCTCTTCCACAGGCCACATGCCAGCCCTCTGGACACTCTGCCCAGAGTCCAGAGGTCCTGTTAGCTGAGCCCTCCTCCTAGATCACCCACTTCAGCTGAGAGCTAATCATTCACAGAAGAAGAAATTACTATCAGTGGGCTCCCACCCCACCCCTTTTCCACCCCCTGCACTTCTGAGCCTTGCCCGGGCAACTCCCCTTTCTGGCACTCCTTCCTTGCCTCTTTACCACTTCTGTTGCTACAAAGCTGCTGGCTGTCCCACCAACTGACCTTGAGCCCAGTGACCTCCAGCCCGCCCTCTCTTTTTTTTTAATTAATTAATTTATTTTTGGCTGTCTTTGTTGCTGCGCATGGTCTTTGTTGCGGCGACCACATGGTCTTTGTTGCGGCGAGCAGGGGCTACTCTTTGTTGCAGTGCGCGGGCTTCTCATTGCAGTGGCTTCCCTTGTTGCGGAGCATGGTCTCTAGGCACGCAGGCTTCAGTAGTTGTGGCTCGCGGGCTCTAGAGCACACAGCCTGCTCTATTTCATTAGCTCATGGGTCTGGGCTGAGGAGCCTGGAAAGGCTAGGTCTGTGTAGGGAGGCTGTAGGTTTGCTGGGACACCGACAGGCAGGTCCAGGCACATCCTCGGGGCACACAGCCCAAAGAATCCCAGCACTCAGGGTGAGTCCAGCAACAGGTTCAGGTTCAAATCAGAAGTGGCAGCAAAGCCTGGCCTATAGTAGAACCCTGAAGAAGTCCTTAGACGCCACATGACCCCACATACCATTGGGCCCAATCTGCAAGACAGAAAAGGATGCCCTTCCACCTACACGGTCAGACCCACCCATGCCAAGAACATGCCTTTGGCTCTGCATAACAAGTCTTGGCTCACACCACCCACAGGGGTGAGAGCAGCATGGCTAGAGTAGGCAAAGGGCAGGCTTCCCCAGCTGAGGCCAAATAGTCATTTTCCCTACCGGGCACAGTAAAGGCTAAAAAAGCTTTAAGGTGAAGGTCAAGAGGCTGTAGCGGAGTTTAGGGACAATAAAGCCCCCAAGAGCTCATCTGTAAAAAGGCATTACTTTAATAAATGCCCACCATAAATGCTGCCAGCTGACTGCAGCAGCAAGTGTGGACAGAGCAGGGGAAGGAGGCTGGGAATCAGGCTCCAGCTCTACCACAGGGACAACTCCATTTCTCTCACTGGGTCTCACGAGCAAAACGAGAGGTGAGATGAGACTAATGCTCTCCCCTTGACATCCCTGGGCTCTCTGAAGCTGTCCACTGTTAACACTGAAAATCTGGACTCCAAACATCACTTTATCCCATACTAAAAAAACCTGGCAACTTCTAGCCTCTGGCCACTTAGCCTACATGGAGCTCAGCTTTCCCACAAGAGAAGACAAACCGCGCCTGACTCCAGCCGTGAAAGGGAACACAGGGGGCGCTGCCATGGGGACTCAAAATGGGCCCAGCTGTTGCCGGGGTCTCGTGAGGCTGGCCCATTAGGATTGGCGCTAAAAGCGGCATAGGTAGCGATAGCTGATTCTGACAGTCTGGGCGAAATTTGTTACCTGTTTCCCTGATGGATACAGGCCTAGAGGATACCAGCTTTGCCACTGGATATTAGAGCCCAGGGCAGGGGGCGCCCAAGAGTAAGGTAGCCAGATAAGATACCGGACGTCCAGTTAAATTTGAATTTCAGATAAATTAGGAATTTTTTTAATGTAAATACGTTCCGTACAATATTTGGGGCATACCTATACTAAAAAATTATTTGTTGTCTATCTAAAAATTCAAGTTTAACTGGACGCCCTGCATTTTTTTTTTTTTTTTTGCCAAATCCAGCAAGTCTACTCGTGACACCGCCTCTCCTAAACTCCCGGTCCCTCCAGCAAGAAACCCGGAAATACCGAGCGGGCCCTCCTTGGCTCCTCCCAGCCACAAAGCGAGGCTGGAGTCCTTTCCGGCCTTCGCCTGCTCGCCCAGCCCCGGAAATGGCGTCACCCTCAAGCCGGAACCTCTGGCTTTCGTGAGGTAAATGGCGGGCGCGTAACGTCCGGTGTAATGTCCGAGAAATAAGGGCCCGCTGACGCCTGGGCCCGCTGTTGCCGGGCCCAGTGGTTTTGCGGGCCCTCGCTGCGCGGTCTTACCGCAACACCGTTCAGGGCCGCGTCTTCCAGCCTCGGGAACCGGAACTGCTTTGAGGGGGCGGAGCGGAATCCGGAATTATGGGGTGGGTGGGGCGCCTGTGGGGGGAGGCCTGTGGGAGCGGGGGCGGGTGGCAACGGGAGCCAGGACGGCGACTAGGGCGTTGACTCTGCCCTGACCGCCAAGAGGTCTGGTTAGAGTCACCTTCAGGACTCGGTGTCTTCATCTCTACAATGGGATAATAATCGCCGATTTCTGTAATCCGTCCCCTCCTTTATTCTGTAGGATTCAACCAGTCGCAGATACATTCCGACCTCTTGTTAGGTGCCAGGCACTGGACTAAGCAAACAGGCTGAGAATCACTACTTACCCACAACACACCCCTCCTGGGGCCAAATGAAGTCATCCCCGTCCCTCCTCACCACTGTAATTCTACAATTCATTCGTGTTCCCCGCCTTCTGTCTTGAGCGACCAAATCACAGCTCTGACTCAGCAAGAGAGTTCTAGTCCATGATTCTCGAACACGCAAGGTGCGTGTAAACACAAAGGACCCTAGGCCTCCCACACTGTCCCTGCTCTCACGCTGGGCCCGGCTTGATACCTTCCCACATTCAAAAGACAAGTCCTGGGCTTCCCTGGTGACCCAGTGGTTGGGAGTCCGCCTGCTGATGCAGGGGACACAGGTTCGTGCCCCGGTCCGGGAAGATGCCACATGCCGCGGAGCAGCTGGGCCCGTGAGCCATGGCCGCTGAGCCTGCGCGTCCGGAGCCTGTGCTCCGCAGCAGGAGAGGCCACAACAGTGAGAGGCCCGCGTACCACAAAAAAAAAGACAAGTCCTGACCAGACACAGAAGAGTACATTGTTTTTACTAATGTCTTCTTGGGAAGATCACAAATAACACAATAGATCTGCTAAAAGTCTTAAAACATATTTCTCCCCACCTGCTCTTTTTAGTAGCTGCCACATCTCCCCTTTCCTCTCCAAACCATGCTCTGCTCTTGTCAAGAACTCCTCCTCCCCCCTTCCTAGCTGTCTCCCCGGATTTTTCTTTCCTGTTGTAATAGAGGACCTTTCATTCCCTATCAGTTTCTCCCAAGTGCTTCCCCACCCCATCATCAAAACAAAGGCAACTTCAGGAGGATCTGCCCTCTTTAGGCGTGGGGAGATTGTAAATACTTAAAATTGCAGTTTTTCCTTGCTTATAGTAAGCTGTGTTCATCCATCCATGCATTTATTAATTTCTCCAACATTCAACAGATATTTCCTGAGTGCCTTCTAGGTGGGCCAAATGCTCTAGCTGCTGGGATGAGTAAGCAGTGGTACTTTTAGTTGGGAAACTTACTCTGCTTTTGTAATTACATTCCCACGCTTGGGAGGGTGGGGAGTGTAAATTTGAGCACCTCTCATTATTAGTCCCAGGGACTCATAAACAGACACCATTTACTGTGCCGGTGCTGTTCTGTCAGATTGTTAACAGGAGAATAATTATATCCATTTTTTAATTCCCACCCCACATCCCACCCCAACAGCTACTCACAATATGCATTTAACAACAAGGTTTAGATGCCCACTGGACTGTGAGCTCCTGGAAGGTGGCAATTTGGTCTAATTAATATTTGTATTTCCACTGACTTGCATAGGACCAGGCACAAATACAAGCTGGAATTTTTTTTTTTTTTGATGAATTAACGGTGGGAATTCCCTGGCAGCCCAGTGGTTAGTACTGGGCGCTTTCACTGCCGGGGCCCAGGTTTGATCCCTGGTTGGGGAACTGGGATCCTGCAAGCCAAGTCCCTTGGCCAAAAATAATAATAATAATTTTTTTTCAAGAAAACAGTGAAATGCTCAGCTACAAAGTGCTGCAGACCCTAGGTGGAGAGGATTGCACAAAAGGGAAAGAGATGCTGGTGCGTGGGAGTAGACTTCATGAGGCAGTGGGATTTGGGTCTAAGAAAACAATTAGGCACATTAGAATGCTTAAACATACTTTGATAGTAGGCATGAATATGTCTACAATCTTTGTACACTTGGCAATAAGTATCAATGTCAAACGTGACAGACATTTTCAGTCCAAGGAAATAATTGGTTATGTGGACAAAGATGGTATAAGGGAGGAAAAAACATTTTCCTCTAATCTCTTAGGTTTATTGACTGAGGCCCTACAAATTAAACTGACACATGACAGATTAACAACAGAAAAAGGTTTATTTCATATGGATAGGAGAGGCCTCACAGAAATGACATGAAAACCCCAAAGAAGCCATTAGGCCTGAGAGCTTATGTACTATTTTTAAAAAAGAGTGATATTTTTTGGAGATGTGATGAGACAAAAGGGGTTTGAGCTTCTCAGGGCAGTAAATTACGTGAAGGTAAATATATGAGGGAAACTAATGGAAGATAAGGATTGCTGAAGTTATATTTGTCTGTGAATATTCACCTCAGCGTTAGCTCCCCACCTCCTAGTATGGGGAGGGTGCCTTTCTCATGAAACTGAGCCCCCCAACAGTGGGTTCCCTTTACCAAGTTTATGATTAATCTCTCTATCCAAAACTTTATTCCCTTTCTTGTCCCTTCTGACCTCTATCCCTCTTTTGTCCCCTTTGACCACAATCTTTTGCTAACTGAATGCTAATCAACCAGAGTCAGATGACTAAACTGTTGTAGATAACATAGTTGTAGATAACATAGTTGATGTAGATATGTAGATAACATAGTTGATGTACAAAAATTGCTGTTGTAAATATCATCATTAACATACAAACTCGGGTTGTTTCTCCAGGGCAAGATGAGCTAATAGGCCCCTGAGCCATGAACCCCCTGGCCAGAGAATTGTAACCCAGAAATACGTTGTCTCCCCAAAATATGATTACAAAATGTCATAGAAATGTCCCAAGACGATAATTAATCCCAGATGATAATTAATCCCAGCTTCTTTGTTCTTCCCTTTAAAAACACCCCCAACTCAGAGACCAAGATGGACTGGATCTGAGACTTGCTTCCCACTCCCTTGCTTGGCGCCCTGCAATAACCCCTTACTTTGCTGTAAACACCCTCTGTCAAGAGTTTGGCTTTCTGTGCCATGGACACAGGAGCCATTGCTCCATAACACTCACAGGAAATTTGTCCTGCTTTTAGGTAAAAAGGAGGAGGGCACAGAGCCCTTCCTGCATTTGCTGTTTCTCATATTCTTTCAACTCAAAATAATTCTTATGCCAAAGTGGCATATTTGGGGGTGGCATACTCTGATCCCCTTCAATGGACATGAAGAGATATTCAGCCCAGAGATTTTATGAGTATAAAGCAATCTGAACATCATTGATAAGAGAATTTATACAAATAAGTTATAGTACTTCTAAACAGACATTAAAAATAATATAAATTCTAATATTATTAAGGCTATGTACATGCTACTTTTTGTAGCATGACTATTTTATGACTAAAAAGACTGTTGAAAAGGCCATTTAAGTAGAATTTAAGCCTTCCTCATTATTCAGGCAAGCCAAAGGAAAGAAGGCTATGGATTGGGGTACATTACTTGTACCGTATTAGGGGAAGGTTTACTGAATTGATTAATTCAGGGTAAACTTTAATTTAAAGTTTCCCTTTTAGAAAAAAGGAGGAGGTCATGTCTGGGTGATGTTGGGTAGTCAATGACCAGGAAAAGGTGGTGTGAATGAAAAATATTGCCTGTCATATTAGTAAACAAAGGATGTTGCAGCCATCAAGCCATCACATTACAGGTGCCCCAGCCGTGAGCCCTGAGGGAACTCAGGATAGAAAAATAATGCTCACCATCAAATCATCAGACACTGCAGCCCCCCCACCCCCCACCCCATGGTGCACCTTGAGGAAATTCAAGATGAGAAGACACAGGATACTGGCCCCAGGTAGCTGAGGTGCATATCAAAGGAATGATTTCAGTGACCCCAGACTCTTGCATCTTCCCATACATAGAAAAATGCTAAATTCCTTAACTTGAGATATCTGGGTTTCTTTAATTAACAGCACTCTTTTAATGTTCCAACTACCTGGTCTTTGTTGCAAAAACTCTAACATCCTGGCTCTGCCCCTGCCTTTGCGGAGCAGTCTCTCAGATTTATCTGAGATGCTGTGTCCTGGGCTTAAGTCCTCAGTTTTGTCCACCGAATAAAACATAACACTCAACTTCAACTTTTAGGTTGTGCATTTTTTGTTAGTCAACGGTGGCAATAATGGCACCCACCCCCACTAACAGTGATGAATCTCAGGAATTCATCGTGGATAAAGTACTAGGTCCCTGTAAGTCTGAAATATCCCCCTACCCCACACGCAAACTCAAGGGGGTCACCAGGATTAGTGAAGGGTGCAAATTTAGGAGAATGGTGCTAAATCTTGGGCTTTCTGACCTGGAACTTTGCCATAAATAAATCCTGCTCATTAAGGAAGATGATCACAGATGATGTGCTGCCATTTGAGGTTTCAGATGCCTGTGGAGGTTTGAGGTGTTAGTCCATGTCATCAGCACAGCAGAGCCAGCAGTCATACCCCGAAAGCACCCACTTCTCTATCGAAATTTGTCCTGTTGTCCTCCAACCTCAAACCATGGTGGTGGCTAATAGTGTGAACTAAGAATGCCACTACCATATCAGTAAACAGGATGTTGCAGCCATCAAACCACCACATTACAGCCACCCCCGATAGTGCAACCTGAGGAGAC